AAGTTTTCATCCAAAAGCGTCTTTACAATTACAATAATCATATATAGAATAAAGCCTGAATATGAAAATCAGAAATCCTGAAAGCCTCGGTTATGGTTAGCAATGACAAAATACATCGTATATTCTGTATATTTATTATTATGTTAAATTCATTTTATATGATATAACATTTATGAAAGTATATGGATACATGTGAATATATAATATGAAAGTAAATTGTTCAATATACTTCTCTATTCAGGCACGTACTATTATTAAATATTGTTGCGTATTGTTCATTATATTTTTCCGTGTTTCAATACACGACATATTTTAATGATTTTCAACTAGTAACTTCGCCATTTTTTTAACTTAAAATGTAACAGAACGTAAAAGAAATATTTTGTAAAATGTGAAACGACTCTCGTAATAAAGACTACTTTTAAATAAAAAAGAAAGAACATCGAGAATATTCGATGCAGAAGTTTTCATCCAAAAGCGTCTTTACAATTACAATAATCATATATAGAATAAAGCCTGAATATGAAAATCAGAAATCCTGAAAACCTCGGTTACGGATTAGCAATAGTGTAATGCGATCACACGAGCGAATAGTTCGTAATAATTTGTTTTATTAACGATCCACTCCGAATAAGAAATTCCGCGGTTAACAGTAGAGCGAGTGCTCCAAGATTCCATCTCGACCGCAGGTGTTGATGCTCTTGGCTCAGTTGGTTGTTGCTCGAATATTTCATGAGCTCAACGAGTAAGTTCTGCGTCACCCTCCTTGAATGATTCATTCCGCGAGGGTGGTTTTCACGGATCCTCCGCACAATTGCGGTTTTCTTTTTCTAAAATGATTACAAGGGCGTTGCCGTGTCCTTTGTGTGTTTTCCGTCATTCGTCCCATCTCACTGTATCATTTGCAATGCTCTTTCGATCCATGCTCTTTCGTCAACAAAATGAATCAATTTGAACACCAAATGTCTAATACTAGAAATTGTGTATAGTTTGTATTTCGTACAAAAATTGTAAGCGGAGATCTACAGATATGAATTTTCTAGAAAATGCTGTAAACTAAAACGTTTCGAAAAACATTAGAAAACTTTGTTCAGTTCTGAATCTATTAGGAGTTCGAAGATTGAAGATTTTTCTTTGCAGCGAGCTTGAAAAAATACTTGGTACACGATTTTTTCTTATGGCTTCGTCGATCTTCGACCGAAGGGCGTATCAATTTTGCAAAAACGTAAGCGAACGCCATCAAGGTTTTACGTGTTCCATAAAATAGCTAGAGAAAATCGTGCATCAAATGTTAGGGGGTCGTTTCGCAGGAGAAGGTTCGATCTTCGAAAATCCACGATCCATTCAATTGCGAAAAGAAATCGTTCGGGTAGTTCCTTTCCTCGTAACGCTTATTCATTCGATTTATTACTTGCAGCTAGTTACAAGCAAAATAGTTAAAGTTATTAATATTTCAGCATTTTTTAAAAATAAAAGATAATTTATAATTATTTAAAATATCTATAATATTTATAATTATCTATATATAATATATATCTATAATATTTATAATTTTATAATATTCTTTATAATAATTATAAAGAATATATATAATTATTAGAAAGAATATTATAAAATTATAAATATTATAGATATCTTAAATAATTATAAATTATCTTTTATTTTTATATAATTTTATATAATATTTTTATTATATATTATACATATTTATTATATATTTTTATTTAATTTTATATAAATATTTTAAAAAATATTTATATATTTATAATATCATTCATAATAATCGTTTAAGATATTTGAATTTTTCAAAAATAAAAAACCCGAGTTTCTTATACTTTTTTCATTCGTACCAATTGCAATATCTGACAACAATTCTATAGACATTGTCTAGTAAGCACGTCTCTCTAAAAAGATCTCAAGAAAATGCAAGTAATTTCGTCCACCTCTGAACAAGTTATTCTGTTTGAAAAAATGTCCGAAAATTAATGCGAGTCGCCGTATTCCGACAGGAAAAGCGAAGCGAACGTTGTCGTAGACCAACGTTGACGGGTACACGCTAAGTAAATAATATCAGATAGAATTTGTTGCGGTGCCGTGAACCGATGGGCGTTCACAAGACCCGGTCTAGCATGGAGGTTTATGGTTTGTTTAGCAGTACCCATGATCCACCATGCGAATTTCCCCTTGATTAATGTACGCTCCCAGTTTGGACTTAAGCTCCTTCAGGGTCGACGGAGGCAGGCTCCTCTCCCGGGACCAAATCATGGAGAACTTGTATCCCTGGTGGCGAGGCGCGGTGCTCTCCGAGCAAACTAGCATGGCGACGAAGGCACCGTAGTCCGCGAGCACTATCACGTGCCTGAACGGTCCTGCGAATCATAATAAAATCCGAAAGTTAACGGGGGCCGACCCGATTGTTGACCCGGGGACCGCGCCAGCTCGAAACTGTCCCTTTCCGAACCAGAGGCCATTGATCACCGGTTTGTAGATTCTGCGGCGAACTTTCACCGGCGCCAACACTTTTCACCTTGTACGGTGCGGCACGACGACAACGGCGACGACAGCGGCGACGATAACGTGACAGTGAAAATATTAGTTTTATTGATTTCCGAGCCAAGGTTCCCGAAGGTCTCGCTTTATGTAACGCGCTTTATTTAGAAACACGTTTGCTCGGGTGCAAAGTACTTCGCATGGGACGCGGATAACCGAACAAAGGATTTGTCAGCGGTAGTATCCGATAACGAAGGAAATTTGATTCCAAGAATTTATTCGAAATATTATTCGAATCAAATTTGATTCCAAGAATTTATTCGAAATATTATTCGAATCGAATTT